GGCATTCTTGTCGGTTTTAGTGTCAGTCTGAGGTAATCTTGTGTGGGTGTTCCTACCAAACATGAGTGTGGCCGGTGCAACTTGAGTTGTGGTATGGGGAGTAGCTCTGTAATTTAATAAGAATTCCTGCATGGTGCGGCGCCAGTTTTGCTTTTGCAGATGAGCAGTACGAATAGCTTTCATCAGTGGTTTCATGAAAGTTTTGCTTTCATTTGCTTGTGGCCGTAATGGAGTGACTGTTTTGTGTTGAATGCCATTGTCATCCATGAATTTCTTTATTTCTTTGCTCTGAAACGGTGGACCATTGTCCGAGATAACTTTTTTTGGTAATCCAAATGTGGCAAAGATCTCGTCTAAACATTGAATTAGGTGAGGAGCATCCGTTTTCTTTATAATTTTTGTTACCGGATATCGGGAGCGTCCATCTATTAGGACAAAGAGTGTTTCTCCACTTGGTAACAGACCCAAAAAGTCAATGTATACAGTGTCAAAGTTCTCCTTGGGTATTTCGCGCATTAACAGATGTTGTGGTGGTTTTGGACGTCCAGTGGCTTGGCATGGTATACAGCTGTCGATAGCAGATTTTACAAGTGAATCAATTAAGGGGAACCAAACTTTTTCTCGCATTAGGCTCTTCGTTTTAACTATGCCTTGGTGTGGCGAACATGGGCTAAACGTATGGCATCTGCTCGCAAGCTTTTTGGAATAACAATGCGTGTGTCTCGTAAAATGATGTTCTTATCATTAGATACAGTTAATTCATCTTTGATATTACAGAGTAACTTTAGTTCACGAATATCAATGTCTGTGTCTTTGGAAAATGTTGTGGTGTCTAACGTATGCCATAAGTTTTTCTGTATTATGTGTGCAGCATGTTGCAAAGTTGGGTCATTTTGTGTTGCTTCTCTGATTTGTTGAAGGGTCATTGCTTTTGGGGTTGTTGATTCCGCAATGAACTGAATATAATATTCAGAGTTTTCACTGTCTTGTGATGTCATTGAGGTCGTATTCACTGGGTGTGTCTTGACATGTAATCGGATGGGTTATCGTGGCCAGGGCGATAGTGAATTTGGAAATTGTATAACTGTAGGCGTAAACGCCAGCGTTCTAGTCGTGCAGGGCAATGTGAATTTGGATTCTGAAAAATCGATACTAATGGTTTATGGTCTGTATAGATTGTGAAATGAATTCCATAGAGAAATAAACGAAAATGTTCGCAGCCAAAAACAATTGCAAATGCCTCGCGTTCTGTCTGACTATATCTTTGTTCTACTTCTGTAAGAGCACGACTGCCATATGCAACGACAGTTTCGTCATTTTGGCTGGGGGTATTTTGTATTAATATTGCCGCTAGACCAGTGGGAGAGGCATCTACAATGAGCTTGGTGTCTTTTGAAGGGTCAAAATATGATAAAGTGGTTTTTTCGTTCAATCTTTCTTGTAATGTATCAAACGCACGTTGTTGTGATTCTTTCCATTCGTATTTTATGTCCTTCTTTGTAAGTTTACGTAATGGGGCAGTCAGTGTTGCAAGATCTTGAATAAATCTGCCGCAATATGTTATCATTCCTAAATAGCTACGAAGTTCAGAAACATTCGCTGGAGGTTTTAGAGACTTGATCGCTTCGATCTTTTTAGGACATGGGGATATACCCTGCTTCGAGAAAACATGACCATAAAACGTGATGCTTGGTTTATCAAATTCACATTTGTCACCGTTGAATCTTAAATTATTTTCATTAGCACGCTGTAGAACAGATTCTAATGTCATGTCATGTTCATGTTGTGTTTTGGCAAAAACTAGTATGTCGTCGCTTATGTTTATACAACCGTCAATATCTTGGAATGTGGTCTGAATGACATTTTGAAATATCTCAGCAGCACTATTTCTGCCAAAGTTCAAACGTTTATATCTTTTGAGACCTTCATGAGTTGCAAATGTAGTTGTCACGCGAAGCTTCATCCAACTCTAGTTGATGGTACCCAGAGCTTAGATCAAGTTTTGAGAAATATGCAGCACCATTTAGTTTTTCAATTAAATCTTCAGTTGTGGGAGAAGGGTGACATTCCCGTGAAATGGCTTTATTGGGTTATCGCATGTCAACACAAAGACGAATTTGGTCGGGATTGTTGGGTTTTGGGAAACAAACAATGGGAGATACCCACGACGTGGGGCCTGTTACACTTTCAATAATATCTAATAATTCAAGACGTCGCAGTTCTTCTGATAGTTTGGTTCTCATTGTAAATGGGATTCTGCGGGCTTTTTGAATTGTGGGTTGGACAGTTTTATCAATGTGTAAATGGACTTTGTAATCTGGGACTTTTCCGATTCCTTGGAATAAATGATCATATTTCGAAAATAAGGTTCTCAATCTTTTAGGTCTAGACTTGCTATTTGTTGGAGCATTTTTCTTAGGTTGATGGGTTTCAGGTCGAGATGTAACAAATGCAATTTTGTTTAGCTTTAATAACCCAAGATCAATTGCAGTGTTTCCACTTATTAAACATCCAGCATCAGTGTTTATCACATAAAATTGGGCTGTGGTAATTTTTGTTCCTGATTCAACTGAAGCTTCGAAATACCCTTTGATGTCGAGGGGTGTGTTAGTGGCAAAAGCAAAAAGTTTTATTTTGCTTTTCATCAAGTGGATGTTGTTCTGGCGAGTTAATTTCTCAAAACTAGTATTATCGATAATATTTACACTGGCACCAGAATCAATGTTTACACGAATAGTTATGTCATTGATTTTAATATGGGTGTAGAAATTTCGTTTTCGACAGTCACTGTTAACTTCATTAACAGTTCCTCCTGTGGGTGAAGTGGTGATAGATGTTAAAACGACTTTGTTAGTATCAGGGGTTTGTTTTTCTATTGTGTAAGCATATTCATCTGAGCTTGAATTCGTACCTTGTTCGTCTATTTGTTTCACTTGGGGATCTTCGTTCATTGGATTTCTGAGGAAACTTACTTTAACGCTGTCCAGCTGAAATTTTCGATTTACAACATCGTGCAAAATGGTTTTGCTTGTGACAATGGTTGCATGTTTTCCCTTTTGCCAGACAAACATTCACATGTGGCCAGCTTAATCCACAAAAGAAACATATTTTCTTAGGCGTTGTAGCAGCCGGATTTCGTCGTACGGCGTGGATATCTTTCATTGGTGTTTCATTCATATTTTTCTCAATTCCTCTCGCATCTTCTTCAACAGTTTCAAGTGTCCGTCCATAGTCTAAGAGTTCAGCCAAAGTCAGTTTTGGTTTACGGAAAGCATATCGTCGAAGTTGTTTGGAATTGGTCCCTAGCTCAATTTGAGCTTTTATCTCAGTATCTAAGTTTGAGAATTCACTGTACTTAGCTTTCTGGACGAGTCGTACATGGTATTGATCGAGAGTTTCGTCAACAAGTTGGTTTGTTTTCCTGAACTTGAATATTTCAAACGATGTATTCTTGCGAGGTTTAAAGTGTTCATTTAAAGCTTGACACGCTTCGTCATAGTCGTCTTCTGTGCCTGTCTCAGGCAGTGTTTGAAAGATATTTAGAGTACTTTCACCGATATAGTATAATAATAACGCTCGTTTTCTTTTCTTGTCTTTTATATCGAGTGCAATCAGTAGATTTTCGAATCGCATGAACCATCGTTGCCATCGAATTTCGATATTTTCCCCATTCTCGGCGTCAAAAGAAGAAAATTCTGGTAAGCTAGTCGCCATTTGAGGTACTTGTATATGAAACGATCCTCGTCGCCAATATAATGTTGTCTATAACATTGTTATCTATGCTTTCTTTAATAATCTCTAACAGAACATAATCTTACAGTTGCATCTATATCGCCATCTTGCTTACTTCCTCGTGGTCCATAATTAATGTTAATTATGTTAATTATGCTAGACACTACAACACTTAACAACAAGTCTGAGTTAAACACTTGAACCATATCTCCAGGGTTGAAATTTCTGTTTGCATCAGCGCTACCCAAATCGAAGATTTTCTGATTTGGATATATTTTCAAGACAGTTATTACTTGTTTAAAAAACAATTGTATCTGACTGGCATAACTCAGTAACTAAAGATTTATGAATTTTTCAAAAACTACTAACTGTAGTTGCTATGGCAACAATGACGTCACAACATGGCGGATATTTTATGTTTAAGGTGGCTCAATGCGCTTTTTAGCCAAAGAAGCAAAAGTTGAATATTTTCTGTTTAAATGCTTTTACAGGGTTAAGTTTTACTTATAATTGTAACACATAGTAAGACGTGTCGCAAACAAGAAGAATTCTGATAAAAGTCGCGTTTCCATGACAACTATAACGAATAATGGTAACAAAAAATAGCCGAAAATATCGCCGTTTTTCGAGTTTTTTTTTCAAAAATGAGTTTGGTGACCCAAATTTTTTTTTAATAAATCAGTTACGTTAGTATCGAGAAACATTTCTGGGAAGTTTAAAAAAATCTGTCGACTCAATTCTTTAGAATTAAATTTCGACTTTTTTGACAGTTTCTGTTGACAATTTTTTTTATTTTCCCATCATGAAATCCTGAAGTGTGTATCTACTTGTGTACAATAATCACGGTTTCATTTGATTATTTCGCGCAGCCAAAGTTTTTCACACTCTGCAAGATCAATTAAGGTTACAGGGACACCCTTTTTGGCGTTTTGCGGAAAATCGCTACTGCGCGCTCAATATCAGTCCGATTTTCATCAAATTTTCACCAAATGTTCTCCAGTGCATGTAAAATATGGTAAAGTTGTAAAATTAACAAACAATAAAATAATGTAAGAATTATTCAGGAAAATCTTAAATCGCGGTGCCTTTACGCTTTTGAGTTGTGCTCCTGCTGGTTTAAGTTATATTTATGAAAATATCATTTTTATACAGTAAAATAGTTGTTCTAAAAAATTGTGTTCGGAAATTTTTGTTTATTTCGTCATTCCGCTGATATGGCGATTTCTTTGACGACTGCAATATATTTCTGAATTGTTTGAGTGAATTGCTCTTTATGTTTAAAATATCCAAAATTAAAAAAGCCGAACACAATTTTGAAACTGACGTCTTTAGCTATGTCTTGTGAAAATTTGAGAAAAATTGGTTAAAACCCGCAGGAGTACAACTCGTTTGAAAATCACTAATTACCGTAAACTTTTTCGGGAGAAAATTGAATTTGAATATTACATTTTCAATGTTTTTCTTATTGCAGCGAAATGTATTTTATTAAATAACTCGGCGAGTTTTCAACATTTTTCGTTCAAACTTGGTCAGATAGTAGAACTAGTCTAATGCTTTCATGGAAACCAATAAAAAATTTTAGGCAAAATTAACACTCAAAAGCTGTAACCTTAATTGACATGCGCATACATGTTTTCGCTAGCGCATCTTTTCTACATAGTTTTATATTCATTTTCAGTCGTAACTTGTTTGTTTTCATGTTGTTATTGACAAGTTAAAACAGTTTGAGCCGGCGCATGATGCTGTTTCACTGAATTCCTTTGCTCTTAGTAACACTTTGAATACATTTACCAGTTGTAGTACAAAACAACTCTGGATATGAACTTATAAATCGCCAAATATTGGAGTAAAATACTTTTCGCCGGTCGGGCCAATCGCCGGTTTTCACAAGAGTTTGAACGTCGAACATTGCTTCCAAAACAACTTTGAGCTCTGGAAAAAGGTCTACTATTAATGCCCTCCCACATGTTTCACTTCGAAGTTTGAAAACTTTTTGTTTCTTGCTTGCAATGACACGTTTCGATAGTCTTCTCTGCTGCTCGTTTGTCAAGTCATTCCTAACAGTTTGTGAAGTACGTTCAAGGCATTCAAATTCATGGAGTTTATAATTTAGTTGGTGCTCAGCGTTACGGACAGAAGAAGGGTTTTTAACATTTAGCATTTTTGCAGTGTGCTTCACACTTGTTGTTCTTGCGAACAATCCTTTGATGAGGTCTCTGTCTTTTTTGGTATCCGCAAATCTTACAGCTGTTTCCAGTAAGTCACTGACATCCCTCTTGACATGCTTATTTACTTCTTGTGTATTAACTTTTGAAAAAATATCAAATCTTTGAGCAACCTCAGCAGGATCGTATTCCCTGTTTTCAACAAGATAACCAGTGCCTTTAAAGTAAATCTGAATTACATTAAAATAGCGTCTCACCCTTTTAAAAATTTTCGAAGACATTTTCCTTCATTTTGAATTTTGTTGGTTCATATTCGCTTGACCTAACAAGCCACCAATTTCCTGTGTTGATACGAAAGGACCTTGGCATAAAATATGCTCGCCTACTTTAACCATCTCAAGTTTTATGTCTTTATTCAAACTAGGGTTTTTCTTCTCACACTCATCTTTTAAAGTACGTACATTTTCCTCGAGTATTCCTTTCAACTTTTGGCGATGTGCATGACATTCTGCTTAAATTCTTTTTGGCTAGCTGACCCCTGTGCGACAAATTGAAAGGGATAATATCACAATCTTTCTTCAGTTCTGAGTTTATTGTCTGTGACTGTTCTATTTGTCCTTTATACCAGTAACAAGAGATATTTCTAAATTTAATTTTGTTTTGAAAAATATTGCATTCTAAATGACATTCACATTATGTTTTATTTTAAATATTAACAAAAAAATGAATGATAGCAATCGGCCACCATACTGCAGCAACTTTGGGTGATGACCGTGTTGAAAAACAATGCAAATTATGGGATTCTGGATGGGTTGTTGGCCTTGCATTTTTATTATTTTCACATTCGTGATCCGATCTAGTGGCTGCTTGAGGCAATGATAATACCGAACCGGAAAGTAAATCATTAGCTTTTTCTACTACAGCTTCTGTCTCGCCCACTTGTAACATTGAATTTAAAGATTCAGTAAATTCAGTTTTTGACGGCAAAATTGTGATTTGATCCTCGTACCACTGACATGAAAGCTTTCTAAATTGGAGAATGTATGCACGTTTCCCCCTGTGTGCTTTGATTGACTGAAAACATAAAGAGAAGTGGTCGCTGGAGATGTATTGCTAAATTTCACTGATCTTGGCCTTTTGCTGAAACGTCCAATAACAATTTTCCGTTTTCGTTTAGGTACCAGAAGAGATTTTTCTCTGTTTGTGCTATTAACAAGGGCTGATCAGATTTTGCTCCGGATGTTTTTAACTCACCTAATTTCGGCAAGGAAGGTGTCATTGGTGGAAAATCGTGGGTACCGTTGATGTCGTAAATAGGATTTAGCAGCCTAACCAGAGGAACAAAGTGATTTGGTTGAAACATAGATCCAGCCCGATTGTCGAAATTGCTGTCTCTAGTCCACATTATATACAATGAGTCATTTTGATGAAATAGTGGACAAATGCCACGGCAAACATTTGGATAAATGCTGTAAATTTTGCATCCAAGAACAGACGCCAGTGCATGTATCTGCATCAAACCAGCCCATTTCTTTAACACACATGTTGCCATTGCCTCCTTTTTTATGGCAGCCACACGATCTGTTGCATCATTTTTGTCTTCTGATAAAGAAACAACAAATCGTGAATTCTTGCAAAATTCCATATTTTTGTTGCTGTATCTATAAGTGATTAATAATGTTAGTTTGCACATTCAACTAATTTCAGATCAAGTTTGTTCGTTACGTTCAAGGGAACCAGATGTAATAGCAGACATGTGTCGCGAGCTACTGGTTTTATTACAATGAATGCGGAACCCACTCGAATTGCATTCACGACCCAACGTTTCGACACACCACAGTCTAGTGATCTGAAGTCGCAACATAGCTTCTTATATACACGAGGGATGATGTCATCTGCCAACAAGGTGGAGATACTCTTGTGGAAAATAATTTCCATCATCCCTATTCAGATCATATTAATATGCTACGCTTCTAGCCAAAGACGTTGCCCAGAAATGTGACATATTAACCCTGAGCCAGTGGCGCAAAGCACCGTGCGAGGGTACTAATTCCGCCGGCTAATTGTACCCGGGTATGTGAAAACATAGAGGAGTGCAATGTTGTCCTCCATTTTGTTTATGTCATGGACAGTTTTCGATGTTATGCGCATGCGCGAGTACAAACTCTGTTGAACCATAGACAATCCATGTCTTCTGGATTGTCTGTGGTCGGAGTAATTGTTTTTCATTTTGAAAGGATGTATTTTGCTATTTTACAGCAAATTTTTGTTTTAAATTTCGTTAAAAGGTTTACAAAAGTACAACACGTTTTTTTTCTTCTCGATTTAACTGGAAATAAGCCTGCAGTTTCATGAATTAGTAGTGGCTGTTCAACCATGAAACAAAATTTGTATAATAATTGTTTTGATGTTGATGTCTTTGATAATTTAATCGTTGTTGTGCCGGTTTGGGTAAGTGTAAACATTTCAGTACTAAAATTCCATGCCGTACTTGCTTTGTGTTGTCACTTTTATTCATATCTGCGAAATTTTTAAGCCATTCGTTACTCGATAATTCACTTTAATGCAAGCTGGTATGCATGAAATTGCAGAGAATGTTATCGTTCATTATAAAGCTAGCGCATCAGTTGTGTGTTTATGTTTGTTTATAATGGTCTTAATACTTTATGTGGATTTTTTATACTGTACTTCATCTGTTAAGAAAGGCGAGGGGTTGCTGCATGCATGTATTTTCTAGTATGATCTGAATGGCGATGACAGAAGTTATTTACCACAAGAGCATCTCCACCTTGTTGGCAGATGACATCATCCCTCGATTATATGAGAACTAAAGGTGTGCGTATCCGATCCGATCCGATTTTGTAGGTTTTTTGTCGGAACGGATTTGTTTTTTCCTTGTATTGCGTCGAATTACTCGAATATTTTAACAAATTAAGATAGTTCTATAGCAGGAAGTGCCTGGAAGGCTTTGTAGCCGAGTAAGCCGAGTGATTTGGTCGATAAGCCGAGTGACTATAGGCTATAATAATGTCGAGTGATGACAGTAAAGTAAAAAAGTGTTTTGAGTTATTTTGACATATATTTCTGACAAAAGAAACACTGGCGTTATGTGGATTCTTCTTAAATAGTTACGTATGGGAATTGGGATATCGGAATGTCGTGATTCTTTGTTTAGTTTGTTAGGTTTATGTGTCATGAAGCACAGCTGACAATGAGATTTATTAGTGATAAACTTTAAGATGTTTTAAAATGTAAACCCTGCTCAAGCTCATGCATTGTTATAATAACTATGTGACTAGTCGTTTTTCTTCTATGCTAGTATAAGGCATAATTATGTGATATCGCCCTGCAATTTTTCTCGGATTCGTATCTGCTTATTTTTGCTGGAAATTCATTATAAAAATACCTTCATACACCGAATAATTAACGCAGGCTGTACATAGTAACTTACGTTCGGATCGGATTACGAAATTTAGCGTCGGATTTTATAAACATTTTTTCGGATCGGATCGGATTGCTTTTTCATCTTCAGATCGGATCGAATTCGGATTGAGAATTTAGACAAACAATCGGATTCAAAGAGGTCAATCCAATCCGATGCACTCCTCTAATGAGAACCACGTTGCGACCTCAGATCTCCCTTGACGAAGAAACTAGACTGGAGTGTCGAAACGGTAGGTCGTGAATGCAATTCGAATAGGCTATGTATTCATTTTAATAAAAATGTCAATTTCAAATCAAAGTTTTGGCTTAAAACGGAAAGGCTTGAAGTACAAGTGTAATAATGGATAGTAAAAGTTAACTTTAAGTTCAAATGTTTGACTTTTAATTAACAAACAGAAAACTTACGTATGTAAGAATAAACATGCCCCTAAATCGACGCCCTTTATCTTCAGTTATAAATGTTCCAAAATGTAATAAGCGACCAGGTCGTTGATTAGATCATTTAAGGTGTGGTGGTAGTTAAAGACATTTGTGTTGATATACAATATGATACCAATAATCTGGAAAGTGGGCGTTGTATTAGAATTCAAGTAAGTTTCTATATCTATTTGGTTTAACATAATAGCTTTTTAGCACTATTTACATTTAAAGTTAAAAAAATTAAGGTCTCACCACAGGGACCCAGGCTCTGCTGATGCCCACATGATGGTCGCGCCGTGGCGGACAAAGGCACAAATATTCTATTAACTTTGCAAAAGCACAAGTATTATATTAACTTTGGGCAAAAGCACAAGCATTATATTAACTTTGGGCAAAGGCACAAGCATTATATTAACTTTGGGCAAAGGCACAAGTATTATATTAACTTTGGGCAGGTGCGGGCAAAGGCACAAGCATTATATCAATCAATAGCAATTGACTGTAAAGCTTATTAATTTTCATAGTAAAGAAAACAGTAGCCCTTTTACTTACCTTGGATGATGAGCATAATAATTCGAATGTAGGAAAAGTTCTGCTGCTGTTAAAAGGCGCAGCTAGTGGAGCACACAGATGTTCATCTCCTGTCATCAAAATAGAGCCAGAGTTAAACAATTTCCATCTGACTTTACTTGCACAGGTATCCGTTTCTCCGGAATATCTTCGGGTAGGAGAAAATCGGAAAAACAATCTCTCTTGTGACGAAAATTTGTTGTAGTCATAAGTCGGTATAAATGGTCGATGCCTCTGTGCTATTTTTTCGCAGGTATCCCAGCGATTACTTAACATTGCATTTTTGAGCAAACTTAGATCTACTGTTGTTGGCGATGATGATCCCATCCTACAATACGTCTACAACACCGACGTCGACGAATGTATAAAATAACCCAAAATTTCAAAACAATATATATAAACAGCAGTACAGATTAAAATGAGAATAACTTTGTTGATGTTTACAAATATTCCCGCGCTTTTTATTCATGGCATCAGATTACTTACACAATGCGCGGTCAAAAATTTGCAACCCAAGCATATGGATTTGTCACTTGCAAATATAACAGTAAAACGTTTACAAGTTTTATGGGTGTGTTTTATGTCTAAGCTTAATTGGTTTGCAAGCACATATAGTCATATTCTGATATTCATTGATCAAGTTGAAACTATATATGCATTGTTGCCAAAAACCAATGATTTCAGTGCATTTACAAGTATATTATTTTTATGCCTTGCATTCTTGTTCTCTGTTTAGTGGGCGAAATGATCAAACATAAACAATATCACAGAAGAGGCAATGATTTCCCCAGTGGCTAGTATAAATGATTAACTTTTCTGTCCGTGGGGAGGCGGGCTATTACAGTGAAAATACAAAAAGTGTCCCACTTCCCCCAGTTTGCTGTGAATTTTACTGTAACTAATTTGTTCTGTTGTTCTGTAGCGATTACGGATTTATCGGCAAATACTGCGATAAAATTTAAATTTCGTAACTTTTATGCAATATATTATTTCCCTTTCCTACAGATTATCATATTTAAAAATAGAGAAAACTAAGTTTTATCGTGGTATTTGCCCATAATATAAATTGGTAACGCTACAGAAAAACAGAACAAATTTATATCACAACAAACTGCGGAAGTGGGACACTTTTTGTATTTTCACTCTAAAAGCTGATGTGTACATAGGTTGAAAGCAAATTCCAGTCGATTTCACGAAATTTTTGCCAAAATTTTCCGAATTTATTTCCGAATTTCGTTTGCAATTTGCGAAGTTGGGACTTGGGAAAGTCAGAAGTTCATATTTCACAAGTTGCCAAGTCTGTTTTGAAAACTAAGCACTTGATTGGCTTCCTTTTTTCAGCAACCAATCAGGGGCTCTGTTTACAAAACCGGCTTGTGAAATATGAATTTCTGAGTTCTGACCTTCCCAACTTCGAAACGAAATTCGCCAAATTCGAAACAAAGTTTGACAGATGCCTTTTGCAACAATCTCTTTACATAATCTTTCAGATTCCTTAATAAGATTATAGTATTTCCTTTGTAATCAATAACAAACTAACTCTCCAATGCATAAAATTCCTAATAGTTCCCCGGAATACTGAATCAGGGGCGGATCTAGGGTAAGTCCAATCAGTCGCGTGACTGACGTATTTTTGGCAAAATTTTCGAAATTTGAATAATTAATTCCCGAATATAATATGAAATTCATATCATAGTCCAGTATACGTCTTTACGAGCTCAGTTTTGAATAAATATATGCTTTATCTAGAGCAGCGGTAAAATGCAAGAATCTCGCAGAATCGGGTGGTCGTTATGTTCATTTGATTGGTCGAGAGGTCATTTGGACTTATCTCGACTGATCTGTGGGGTGGCCGGACTGATTTGCACTTTAAGGGAGTCTTTATCAGTCCATTTCGTTCCTTTGATTGGTCAATTTGAAAATATTGTGGGGTGGTCGGACTGATTTGCAACTTAAGGGATTTTTTATGGGGTGGTCCGACTGATTTGCACTTTAAGGGAGTTTTTATCAGTCCATTTCTTTCATTTTGATTGGTCAATTTGAAATTATTGACAATTCCTATTGGTTCATTTTTTTGGACTGATTCGGACTTATTCGCGGCAGGGGATATCAGTCCTTGAAAATTGCGAAATTCATGCAAAGCAGTCTTTCATATTCCCGTATATGAAGGTTTTTCATAGTTGGGAGAATTATTTTACGATGTCAAGTATT